GTATGTAAAAATCATTCTTTCTCATCTGTGGAGAAGAAGAAAGTTCCTCCTACTCTTCTTTTGTTATTTTATATACAACTTGTCAATGTACCAGGTGTCCTTCAAGTCCCAAATATATTGAGTGCCAACAAAAATGAAGATGCCTTTTCACAGTTGAGGCTTTAAGTAAGCAAGAGCCAGTCAGAGGTACTTTGGGGACTTTCTAAGGCAGATTTGTTCTTCATGAAACACTGGATACTGACATTTGAAATCAGGTGACATTTCTTCAGCTTTGCGGCATCAAATAAGTATGCATTGAGTTGGGCCTGCGTTCCCATAGCTTTCTTCACACTGCATGCAGTAGGGAAACTGGAACTACAGAGAATTCATTTAAAGAAAAAGAAACCAGACAAATATTGCGTATTCTTATACCTAAGAGGAGTTTCATTTCTCTCCTCTACTCTCTACTACAAAGTTGGAATCCAGCTGCTATTACAGACAGAAAAACACCACCCGTGGAAACAGAATAAAAAATGTGAGGCCCAACATCGCAAGTGCCCAGCCCTTCTACACTTGCAGGAAATTGATCATGATTACACGCATCTGATCTTAATGGATAGTCCCGGCTCTGAGCCCCAGGGAGAACAGCCAAAAGACGAGAGGAAAAGGCAGCTCAAGATTTCTGCCAAAATGCCAAAATGCCCTGAGGAAGAAATTGTTTCCTCAAGTTAAATCTGCAGATGATTTTAGCCTTGTGTCATGTGCGAAAAATAAGTCCATAATGTTAATATCTAATTCCATATATGCCTCTGGGTAGTGGCATTCTAACCAAAGCTAGTTCCCAAGTTTTCATTTCATATCCTCAGAAAGTTAACATTGTTTTAAATTCCATTTGGATGATCATGCAAAGGACAATGAAAAATCCATCAAGCATTCAAAAGAAAAAACAGGATCCATAAAAGCAGTTGTGAATCCAGGTTACATAAACTCATCAGCTAATTCCAAGAAATGTTAGATGCCATGAAAAAAGTTTGTATTTTTCAAGCCAAGGTTAATTTTACCAATTAAGTGATTGTCACTCTCTTAAGCAAGATGGATGTTTCCAGAATAAGGAGGACATGCATTGTAAATTCTTTCCGCATTATGAACTAAAATGGATTTGCTGTTGTTCTTTTATAGTATCTCTGTTCTTCATTTTGGCTTCTTGGAGATAGAGGGCAACAATGTTCACATTATATACTCCTTCACTATTCCTTTCTCTATATGGTGTGAGTAGAGGCATATAAATTATATTAACACAGGCTCCAGTTTGAGCAATTTTGCCTGGGAACTCTTTAAAAGTAAAATAAAATAACATCCTTTTACAAAAAGAACTACTCTTTTGCTAAAGAAAATAATTAGAAGTAATGGCTGTACAAGAAAATGCCTTTGATTATAACCCAGATGGAAAAAGTGATTCAAAGTTCTTTTGTGTTCTGCATATGACAGTAATAGGAATTTGGACTTCTTTCCTGATTCTTAGAAAAGTGTGTTGGAAACCTGAAAGAAAAAATGAAGGAAAGGATCTTGAGTTATAATGGGGTATGAATGTTCTAGTGGCAGCTGGGGCTAGAGAAGGACAAGACTGTAAGAAGTTTCTTGTGGTGGGAACTAAATCAAAGTTTCTCTAAGAGCAAATATTTTTGTGATATTTACCTTAAAGTTTTAGGTTGTTTATGCTGTATTCTCCATTGTCTCCAAATGTTCATTAAACATCAATCGTAAATTATGGACTGTGTCCTGGAGCTTTGTGAGCTAAGGGAAAAGGACAAGACATTTTGGCTCTAGAGGCGACTAGCAGCAAAGTTGGGGGAGGCTGCGAAGGGATAAAGTAGCAGCTATTATTTCTACAGTGAATTTGTTTGATGTGAATATATATTATGTACTGTTCTTCAAATGAGACGCATAGAGTCACAAGACAAGGTCAGACTGCAGGGTAAATACACAGGCACTAAGCTAGAGAAATAATATCCAGCTTGATATTCTCCCCTAAATCATGAAGAGCCCTTCAGATAATATTCTCTGGGAAAATCTACTTCCCTCCCATGTACTTTCCTAAACTTAAAGCACAAAGAATTGTATCTCTCAAATCACTGGTTCAAACATAGGCCAGGCTACTAAAAGTATGCTTTGAAAGAGATCCTATTTTCTGATTTGGTCTTAGTGGAAGAGTGTGCATATCCCATCCGAATTCATCATCTGACTCCCTTGCTTAAGGAACAGTTACTATGGTCAGTAACTCTAGAGTTTTCTACCAGGGAAAAGAGTCTCAGTTCATGCGATTAAGATCATTGTGGAAGATTATATGAACAGAGTGATATGTTTTTATTGATGCGGGTTATATACATGTAAACTACATTTGGCTCTTCATTAGTGTTCATTTTGTAGGTATTCTTATTCTATTTCCACAATTTTCTGATATCAACAAAAATGTGCAGATATTGTATCAATATTAATAAATACGTAATTATTTTCAGCAGACTGAAACATTTCCAAATAGAATTTAGGAAATTTCTAGAAGGAAGGCTGATAGATTTACAATATTTTAATATTTCAAGTAGTACACTACGTTTTAAATAGACATTAGGATATACAGGAAAAACAGCAGATCAGATCGATGTATTGTGGTACTTGATATGGTAATTCTTTGAATTTTGCTTTTAGAAACAAATAGGGTCTAATAGTAGACATTAATATTATTAACCACCAACGTTAGATAGTATTTATGTAGATTCATCCTGTCTGGCAATTCCACCGGAGGCTTTCTGAAGCTATGGTGATTCATTGTTATATGAATATATACGAAAAAGAAATCTCTTTAGTATTTTGTGACAGACTATATTGCAAAATTTAGTATTTACATTTGTAGTAGCATCTTTATTGAGCTTGCAGTAATTCTCTTAATTGTACCAACCCGCAATAGCAATGACTTCTGGAAGTCTTGTTTATGCAATTATTTCAACCTTTCCAGCCACAGTTACAGAGACCTTGAAATATGCTCCTCACTTTTGCTTAAACTGGTTCAAGTTTGCTAACACTGAACATTTTCACTAATTGGCAGCAGGTGTGGAATCATTTATAGCAACTCAATTTCTAAGGCTTACAAAAGAATAATGCATTTAGATTAAGAAAACAGGCATTCAATGAGAAAAAAAAAATAATTTGCAACAAAACCGGCCTCTAAAAGAAGATACGGAGGGAAATTAAGGGGAACTCATATGAGATCATTTCTATATTTGAGTGAATGTGAAAGCAACACATCTTCTGTTTCATCTTATTCAAATGCATAATCCAGCTTGGACCTGCATTAAACGTGTGTATGAACTGAAGCAGGTCCAAGAGAGGATGGACGGATGGAGACCTTTGTTGTCTCTTCTGCAGAGCCTGGAAAATCTGAACCGTATATAAGACTAACCTTTTATCCAACTATTTGCAATGTTCTTTCTGATCATTTCAGGAGTCCTTAACCTGAAGCCACATAGCAAAGTCTATATTCAAGGTAGATATAATATCTGACAGTTCTGGAATGTTCTTTTTTCTCTCCAGGATTTGCATGGGTGTTTTCTATGCCTAGAGTATTTTCCTCCCAATTGCCTCACCTCTTTACCTAGCTAACCCTATTTTTTGCTGGGCACAGAGTAGGCCTACCATTAATACACAAAAAAATTAAGAAGTTCCATTTAGACATACATCACTAGTTGTCTTTAGCCTTGCCTATCACAATGGCTCATTCACTGTCTTCAGCTAGTCATTTCTGCAGAAAATTCTGTTTCTCAACAGAATTCAGTTTAATTGCTATCATTTTTTTTTTTTTTTTTTTTGTAATTACAGCTATCACTTGGCTATAGTGGTTCTTTTCTTCTTTCTTTTTTCTTTTTTTTTTTTTCCCCACGGAGTTTTTTTTGCATTGTCGCCTCGGCTGGAGTGCAACGACATGATCTCGGCTCACTGCAACCTCCCGAGTTCAAGTGATTCTCCTGCCTCAGCCTGCCAAGTAGCTGAGATTGCAGGTGTGTGCCCCACATCTAGCTAATTTTTTGTATTTTTAGAAGAAAAGGGGTTTCACCGTGTTAGCCAGGATGGTCTTCATCTCCTGACCTCGTGATCTGCCCGCCTCGGCCTTCCAAAGCGTTGGGATTATAGGCGTGAGCCACTGCACCCAGCCTCACTTGGCTATATAGTTCTTAAATCTCAGTTGTGATGCTTATTATAATTGTTTATCAACATGGCTTTCTTTCTTTTTAGCTCCTGTAAGGTAAGTTTTTGTATCCCGTCACCCAGCAAGATGTTATACACACACACACACACACACATATATTTATAATAACCTAAAACATATATATATATAACACATACATATATGATGGTGACACTCATATATATAACATATTTATACAAAACATATACATAAAACATGCATTAGAGAAAAAACGTGTGTGTGTGTCAGGTAGTTGTATTCAACATACTCAACATTTGTTAATTGAATTAAATTGATGCTAAGAAATTATATTAGCTTATTTTTTATTGCCAAAATATTGCTATTAGTTATCTTTTCCTGAGTAACAAATTACTTGAAACATACCAGCTTAAAACAATAAATGTTAATTATATCAAACAGTTTCCTTGTATCAGGAATTCTGCATTCGCTTAGCAGGATGGCTCTGGTTCAGTTTCTCATGAAATTGTATTAAAGATGCCTGTTAAGAAAGCAGACATTTAAAGGTTTGACTAGGGTGGAAGATCTTCCAGGATAGCTTCCTTACCAGGTTGGCAAGTTGGCATTGGCTACTGGTGGGAGGCCTCAGTTCCTTCTCATGGCGGCTTCTCCATACAATTACTTGTGAGCGTTCAGGGCCCGGTAGCCAGCTTTGATGCTAGCCTCCTTTAAAATGAATGATACTAGGGAAAACAAAGGAGATGTCACAATATCTATGACCTAGCCTAGGAAGTCACACACCATAATTTCTGCAATATTTTATTAGTTACACAGGTCAGTCCTATTCATGGTGAAAGGGACCAACCACATCATGGTACGGATAGCCAGGTGGCAACTGCTGTGGATCATCTTGGAGCTTGACCATCACACTATGTTCCCACGGTAAGTTGTAGGGGGAACGTTTTTAAAAAATAACCCTCCCAACTCAATAGTCACTGTTGTTAAATATTCAGAACCTATTGTCCAATTTTCTGATTGTAATAAGACAATACTGAAAACAATACATGTAAAGAGTACTGCCATAGGACAAAATATTTGGTCAGCAGGTTATTGTTGACTTTATGCCATGTGTAGGTGCCAATTAACTGTGTGTGTATGTGTGTATATGTCTTCATGCTCAGATACCTGTGCTACACAATGGGAACTATCCCACTCTGTAACTCACCAATCACTTTCTCTTGACTTTTCAAAAGATATATAACTAAATGGATTTATAGCTTCTTCCTCTCAAACTCTTCACATATATAAAGAGAGGTTATTAAGTATATTTGATACTTTTTAATTGATTTGTTTTATATATAAAATACAACACACAGATGCACAGATACACACACACATATATCTGTAAAATAATCTCTTTTTATCTTATGTAGGCCATACAAGAAAGAGGCTACTCTAGTACTGGGAATAAAAGAAAAAAGCTAGGAAATGATTTTATCGGTTTAATGTTTAGCTTTATATTTAATAGGAAAAAATAGATATGTCTTTATTTTTAGCAGGAAGTAGGTTACTGAAAGGAACATTTGGCTTGAAACCAGAAATATATGCCTGTTTATTATTCCTAATTTACCACTAGTTATATTTTGTGGGTACTTTTTAAAAAATATTTCTGTGTGCAGTTTTTCACTATCTTCATAATCCTGGGAAAATATCCCTTGTCTGGGTTAGCAAATTTGACTCCTCTATGATTGTACTGGAGTTTTGAGGAATAAACTATGGCCATTGCTATGTGGTTCAAAGTATCAATGCATCTTAATTCTAACAACGAAATGACAAAATAAAAATACCGTCAACTACAAATTTCAGGTACAATTAGAAAATTAAGTAAATAAAGTAATAATTAAAAATACCTTTGTAATTTCATGAAATTTCTATGAAAACGTTTTAAAGCTAAGGCTCTTTGCCACACCAACTTATGCTATTTAAAAAAAAATAAGTTACAAAACCATGATATAAACAGCACATGCAAATAACTCTGCTTTAAAAATGCATGTTTTTGCAATTTGCTAAGGAAAGTTTTTTAAAGTGTCTGAAAGTAATATACTGCATGAGCACTAACTTTTAAACTTGAAGAGTGAATCACACTGAATTACAATGGATGGTGCTTTTTTGGATACAATTTAGAATAAACATAGATGATAGATTTTCGTAAAAGTTATGTTTATAGCCTTTGGATCAGTAATCAGATGGAACAATTCTCATTCTTACAAAATAGCGATCACTTTGGTGATAGAGAGCAAAATTAACATCATGTACTCTGTTTTTTGATTAAAAATAAAGTCTCTTTCTTCTCTCACATTTAAAAAGAGAAAAATTAAACCTCACAATTACTTCCTAGGGTGTTATCAGTATATGGTAAAGTGAAACAATTACAAGCAATAGTAATATATAATGTTAAATGCAAGTGCAAACAAAATCTTGGTGCATACTGGACAACTAATAAACATTTGTTGAAAAAAATCAATAACATTATTTTCAAAAGCCATTTGGCAAGAAGTTAACACCTGATGTTTTATTTGCAACTTTAAAATAACTTATAAATTCAATGTTTAATAAGAACAAATATTAACTGCTTTGATAATAGTATATAATTATTTTGCAAATTAAGCCTTAGAGAACAATTTAAGTTGTTGTTTGATTGTTTGTTGATGAATGACATACTTATTTTCTTTCATTTTGTTCCTCTGAGAAGAGGATGGTAGAGAATTGAAGAGAATGTAGTAATGAGTGACAGCTCATCATCAAGCCTGTTCTTTTCTTACTGGCCCCGAAGTTGGACTTTTGCAATCTCCCTTGCAATTAGGTGTGATCATGTATCTGAGCCCAGCCAAGGAAATGTTAGAGGTTAGTTCATTGTCTGCTGTGCCTAGGACTGACTCAAAACATCTTTCACAGTCCCTCCTACATGCCCTATCTGTCTTCACAAGTTTAGTCATCTTAGAAACCACATGTTGAGGAAGACAAAACCAAAGGTGAGATCTGGCCTTGGAATCTCCACTTGAAGGAGTGGGTACCCACCAACCAAAAGTGCAATTTTAGATTTCATTTGGGTGAGGTGAGAAATAAACATATTGTGTTAAGCCTGTAAGATTTAGGGTTTGATTTGTTAGAGCAATGAGAGCAATGAGCAATTCCCTGACCAAATGGTGTGAGTTATTTTATTTTAGATCTAAAAGTAAGTTAGTACAAATCCACAATCATGCTTTGAGTTATTCTGAACAAGATTTTTTTTTTTTTTTTTTTTTTGCCTAATTCAAATTAAGCTTATGAAGATCTGTAAAGTTTAGAGACAGGTGGATATTGGTTGGAACGAAACAGAATGGGAAAACATGACCTTGCTGTTATGGTCACATACGGGTTAATACGAATATTTTGAAATATGACAGAAACTCATGTTTACAGCATTTTTTCCTCTTCAAATGAGACCAAAAATAATATTGAAGTGGGAGACTCACTGTCCTTTTTAGCATCCTCAAAATAACAGATGCCCTTTAATTTTATACATACTTTTGTTCTGTATGTTGAGAGGCTTAAACATGTAGATGGGAAAAAAAGATTAAGGCCTGTGTGTACATGGAGTTCCTGCTGCAAGAAAGAAAAGTGACAGAAGGAAAATGACCTAAAATATCTCAAAAATGTGGATATTTTCTCCTGTATTTTGAGAACGTTGTGAAAATCGTAGCTTATTACACTGCAACTAACTCAGCGATGCATACACCTACTCAGGTTATATATATATATACAAGAATGAAAGCACAGAACTGAGGTAAGAGTGTTTGTATCTACGTCTTCCAGTTAATTTTTTCTTTTATGTTTTGTAAGAGACTAGGCTGCTGCTTCCGCAAACCTTCTTTATTCCCCGTGTCTTCTTTGTTATCAAACTTCAGTTTTGTTCATATATGAAGTGAAAAGTTCTTGATCTGATGGAGAATAGGCCCATTCCTTTTTTCTATCAGACCAATGAGGTATTAAGAAGTCAGCTGGGGGGATTCTGGGGAAGATTTTCCCTTTCCGATGAAAGGATAACTCGTGTCGAGAAAATCTCTGCTGAACATCCTTCCTCTTTCTTCTTTGATTGAAGTGAAAAGAACACAAGGTTTGGAGCTGTTACAGCCAACTAGGAAGCATGATAGAAAGGTCAAGAGAACATGTCAGTGCTGTGTCTATTTGGAAATAATGCTAGCAATGGCTAATCTTAGGATTTCAGGTATTTTGAGAGAAACCCTGTATTTTAACACCACTGCAGCAAATGTGATGGGTACCCTTCCATGCTCTCTACCACTATGCAGTATCCTGTTCTACTTTCCAACTGACAACACATATTTATTTCCCTAAGTCATTTCTCAGTCCTCTAGACACCCAGTTAGCACAAATGCCACCCACTTAGCACAAATGCCCAGGGAACATTGTCATCCCTGCCTCTAAGAGCAGGCCTAATGACAGAAAGCAGTTGGTGTATAAATACTTCAGCTCCATCCCTGGAGTGGAATATCATGGTTTGCACTAGTGCCCAGAGTTTCTCAGCACAGCTAAGCTCCAGATAGCTGCAGTGGTATTATTGCCTGATAACAACCCTTACTGGCTGACTTCCCATCCTGGTCTCACTTCCTTACTCTTTTGTTGGTGTTTTCTGGGATCACTCCAAAATAAACTAACTGTATTCTAACCCTTGCTTCAGGGTTTGCTTCTGAGAAAATCCAGAGGAAGGCAGCCTTTATGAATTTTCTGTTACTGGGAAAAGATACACATTTCCAATATGATTTTCTTCTTGAAGATATAAAAGATCATTCTAACAACTGATATTATCAATTATAATGCAGGGTGTTAGATTTTCTTTTCCTCATGTCTTTTCAATGTGATTTGATCTTAATTGTATCTTTGATGTATAATTATGTACATATCTGTTTATGAATATAAGCAAACATTTTGTTTAAAATGGTATTTGGCTAGCATCCCCAGTGAAAACTTCCTTATTGCCCACTAAAATACCTTTGAAAGAAAAAAATTCAACAACAAAAAAGGGAAATTAGAAAAAAAAAAGAAGAAAATAACATTAGGGTTTAGTACTGACAGCTTAACACCTAACTCTTGAAAGAATTGTCACTTATTACATAGTAGATGAAAATAAATTTTAAAAAATGAAATTAACGGAAAGTGTTGCCTAGGGCTGCCATAATAAATAACCACAAATTTACCAGTTGAAAGCAACATAAGTTTATTCTCTCGCAGTTTGGGAGATCAGAAGCCCTAAATCAAGGTGCTGGGAGTGTTGGGTCTTTTTTGGAGGCTCTGCAGGAGAATCTGTCCTCTGTCCTTCTCCTACCTTCCAGTGGTTGCCAGAGATCCTTGGTGTTCCTTGCTTTACATTTCTACCTCTTTCTTTGCACAGTCTTCCGCTGTGTGTCACTGTGTCTCAAATCTCACTCTCCTTACTTTTCAGAACACACCAGTAATTGGATTTGGGGCCAGCCCTAAATTCAGAATAATGTCATCTTGAAATTTTCAACATTATTACAGCTGCAAAGATTCTTTCCAAATAAGGTCTTATTCAGCAGTACTGGGAGTTAGGACTTGGACTTAACCTTTTTGGGTAGACAACTCAACCCACCACAATGATTAAGAGCAAAGAGAGATACATGGAAAAACTAAACATCCAGTAGCAGAACCTAAAGGTGAATCCAAGGCAGAAAACAGCTAAATAAGATAGGTTGAGAGATGACATCAGTGAGTATGATGAATAGGAGAAGCGCTCCCAAAGGAAGGGAAAAGGATACAGTTCAGATGTGATAAAAAAAATAATGGAAAGCCAATCTTCGAATTATAAGAGGATCTGAAGAAGCTCAAGGAGAATACAACTTTTAAAACAGAAACAATACTCAAGG